CTGTCTTCTTTCTCTTCTTTGAAAAAAAGCTCTGAGGCCTAATTTTCCTGACCTAAATGATCATTTTTCGTCTGTCACCTGTGGGCCATATTTCCTGATTTCACATTGTCCAGCCGCCCTCTGCTTGGACAGGGTGGACCGGGGAGACTACAACTCCCCAAAGCCTCAGCGGCAGGGCGCTCTGCGGCTGGGCTCGTCTGAGTGACAGGTCGGGCAGCCATTGGCTTCACGCGGTCTCAGACTCCGTTGCCAATCAGATGCTGAGTGGTTGTGTCGCCCTGTTTCTGCGGCTCGGGGCGGAAATGGTGTGGAAAGGAACCGCCTCGAGCCACGCCCCTCGCGGCTCCTGACTGGACGCGGGAAGTGACGTCTGCGCGCACCACGCGGCAGTCGTCCCGCCCATGTCCAGCTCGGACCCGACCGGGCAGCTTCGGGTCTGGGTCCCGCACGTCCCTGGCAGCCCCTGAGCGGGCGCGTACCCGCCTGTCCGTCCGCCAGAACCTCGCCCTGTAGCTTGGCCCTGCCTGCCCTTGTCTGGGAGGAGGAACGCGCAGTAGGAGCCCAGAACCTGTCTTCTGCCACGCTGCCTGCCCGCGCCCAGCACGGGCGGGACAGGCCGCACTGTTCCTCCTCATCCAGCAGAGCCAGTCAGGGCCGGGCAGAGGGCGAGGTTCTGAACCTAGACCTGCGCCTCACTCGTCCAGGGAGGCCAGGCAGCCACCGGCGAGGAAGGAGGTGGCGTTCTGAGCGCGCACTGGAAAAAGTCATTAGCGGCAGTGCAGAGGGCGGGAGGAGGCGCACTCGGGCAGCTTCCGGGTCGCGTTAGGGGCAGCAGGAGCGCTAAGGGGATGGGGTGCTGGCGGGAGACTGACAGATTCCCGGTCCAGTCAGGGGCAGAAGGAGCGCCGAGGGGGTGGGGTTTAGGCGGGAGACTGACAGGTTCCCCGTCCAGTCAGGGGCAGAAGGAGCGCCAAGGGGGTGGGGTTTAGGCGGGAGACTGACAGGATCCCGGTCCAGTCAGGGGCAGGCAGCAGCGCCAAGGGGGTGGGGTTTAGGCGGGAGACTGACAGGTTCCCCGTCCAGTCAGGGGCAGGCAGGGGAACGCTAAAGGGGTGGGGTTTAGGCGGGAGACTGACAGGTTCCCCGTCCAGTCAGGGGCAGAAGGAGCGCCGAGGGGGTGGGGTTTAGGCGGGAGACTGACAGGATCGCGGTCCAATCAGGGGCAGGCAGTGGAGCCTAAAGGGGTGGGTTTCTGTCGGCAGACTGACAGGTTCCCGGTCCAGGCAGGGGCAGGCAGGGGAGCTAAGGGGGTGGGTTTCTGGCGGGAGACTGACAGGTTCCCGGTCCAGTCAGGGGCAGGCAGGGGAGCTAAGGGGGTGGGCTTCTGACGGGAGACTGACAGGTTCCCCGTCCAATCAGGGGCAGAAGGAGCGCCGAGGGGCTCTGGTTTAGGCGGGAGACTGACAGGATCCCGGTCCAATCAGGGGCAGGCAGGGGAGCTAAGGGGGTGGGGTTCTGGCGGGAGACTGACAGGTTCCCGGTCCAGGCAGGGGCAGGCAGGGGAGCTAGGGATGCGGGGTTCTGGTTGACGACGGGCAGTTTTTGGTCCGAGTCAGGAGCTGGCAGGGGAGCCAAGGAGGTGGGGTTCTGGCGGGAGACTGACAGGGTTCCGTCCAGTTGGGGCAGGCAGGACCGCCAAGGGGGTGGGGTTCTGGTGGGAGACTGACAGGTTGCGGGTCCATCAGGGGCAGGCAGAGGAGCTGAGGTGGTGGGTTTCTGGTCGTCCACTGAGAGCTTCCCGGTCCCGTCAGTGGCAGTCAGGGGAGCCAGTGAGCTGTGGTTTGAGCGGCAGACTGACAGGTTCCAGGTCCACTGGGGTAGGGAGGGGAGCTGAGGAGGTGGGGTTCTGGCTGCAGACTTGGAGGTTCCGGGGCCCATCGGGGCAGGCAGAGGAGACGAGGTGGGGTCCAGGCTGCAGAAAGAAAGATTCCTCGTCCAGCAGGGGCAGGCAGAGCAGATAAGGAGGTGGGGTTCTGGCCACAGACTGACAGGGTCCCGTTCGTCGAGTCAGGGGCACTTGGGTGAGCCAAGAAACTGTGGACGTTTACTTCTTCCTGAGAGGATGCGTTCTGAGAGGAGGAGCGTGGTGGGGGCAAGAGGTGCGGAGTCACCGCACGGACGCCGGGAGGCGGGTGAGAGCAGTCCTGAGGCGGGCAGCCAGCAGACTGACTCGTTTATTTCAGTTGCTACAGCTGCTTCTATGGCCAAGACAGCCCATCCAGTCAAGGGGCGGTCTAGGCCCTGACCAATCACAGCCTGTGGCCAGGCGGTTTCCAAAGCCATCCGATCACAGCCTGTGGCCAGGCAGGCTCTTGGTGCCAGGCAGGTTCTGAAACCATCCAGTCACGGCCCGCCATCAGTCAGGCTCTGTTGTCATGTGGTTTCTGAAAGCATCCAATCACGGCCGGCTGGCTGTCAGTCAGGCTCTGTTGTCATGTGGTTTCCTCTGTTGCCATGTGGTTTCAGAAGCCATCCAATCACGGCCTGGTGCCAGGCAATTTCTGTGGTCAGCGGCCATCTTGGCATGACCTTTTCTCCTCGGCGGCCATCTTGGCATGACCTTTTTCCCTCAGTGGCTATCTTGAAAGGACCTCTTCACCTTAACGACCTTTTCACCTTACCCCTTGCCATAGTGCACAGGGAACCTGTCAGCCTGCGACCAGACACTCCCCCTTAGCTCTCATGCCTGGACATTTTGGTCCAGGATCCTTTCCGTCTGTGGCCAAACCTGGGAACCTTTCCATCTGCGGCAGGAATCTCACGTCCTTGGCTCACCTGCCTGCCCCTGAGGGGACCAGGAACCTGTCGGTCAGCAGCCAGAGCCCACCCCCTTAGTCTCCACTGAGTGGCCCTGACGGGACCGGGAACCTGTCGGCCTGCTGACAGAACCCCACGTCATTGGCTCCGCTGACTGCCCCTGACAGCATGGGAACCTGTCAGTGTGTGACCGGAAACCAACCGCTTTAGCTCCTCTGCCTGCCCCTGATGGAGGTGGAATCCGTCACTCTGCGGCCAGAACCCCACATCCTTGGTTCCACTGACTTCCCCCTAATGGACCCAGAACCTCTCAGCCTCTGGCCAGACCCCACCTCCTTGGGCTCCCCTTCCTGCCCCTGATGGGACCAGGAATCTGTCAGTCTGCCGCCAAAACCCCACCCCTTAGCTCCCCTGCCTGGCCGTTCTGGACTGGGAACCTGTCAGTCTGCGACCAGAACCCCACCTCCATGGCTTCCCTGACTGCCACTGACAGAACTGAAACCCTGTCAGTCTGCGTCCAGAACCCCGCCTCCTTAGCTCCCCTGCCTTTCCCTGATGGGACCAGGAACCTCTCAGTCTCTGAGCAGAACCCCACTCCATCTGCTCCCCTTCCTGGACATCCTGCACCGGGACCTGTCAGTCTGACTCCAGAACCCAAACTCCTTAGGCTCCCCTGCCTGCCCCTAACAGCACCGGGTCATGTCAGTCTGCGACCAGAGGCTCACCTGTCTGCCCCTGACTCGACCTGGAACCTGTCAGTCTGCGGCAGGAATCCCATGTCCTTAGCTCCCCTGCCTGCCCCGAACAGAACTGGGAACCTGTCAGTCTGTGGCCCGGTCCCCCACCTCCTTAGGCTCCCCTGCCTGCCCCTGACTGGACCAGGAACCTGTCAGTCTGTAGCCAAAGCCCCACCCAGCTTGGCTCCACTGAGTGCTCTTGACAGGACCGGGAACCTGTCAGTCTGTGGCCAGAACCCCACGTCCTTAGCTGCCCGCCCGCCTTTGATAGATCTGGAACCTGTAGTCTGCAGAAAGAACCCCACCACCCTGCCTCCCTGTCCTACTCCACACGCACATGGAACCTGAAAGTCTGCCGCCAGAACCCCACATCCTTAGCTCCTTTGGCTGCCCCTGATGGGACCAGGAGCCTGTCAGTCTGCATGCAGACTTCATGTCCTTAGCTCCCCTTATTGTCCCTGACTGGACCAGGAACCTGTCAGTGTGCAGCCAAACCCCACATCCTTAGCTCCACTGCCTACCCCTGTTGGAAATGGAACCCGTGAGTCTGTGGCCAGAACCCCACCCACTTTGGCTCCCCTGCCTGCCCTTGACGGGACTGGGAACCTGTCAGTTGCGGCCAGAACCCCATGTCCCTAGCTGCCCTTACTGCCCCTGACTGGACCGGGAACCTGTCAGTGTGCAGCCAGAACCCCACATCCTTAGCTCCACTGCCTGCCTCTGTTGGACCCAGTACCTGTAAGTCTGCGGCTAGAACCCCAGCTCCTGGGCTCATTTCCCGCCCCAGATGGACCCGGAATGTGTCAGTCTGCCACTAGAACCCTAACTTCTTTGCTCCCCTGACTTGCCCCTAACTGGAGCAGGAACCTGTCAGTCTGCAGCCAGAACCCCACCTCTAGTCTCTGCTGAGTGCTCCTGACAGGACCGGGCACCAGTCAGTCTGCGGCCAAAACTCCACCCCCTTAGCTCCCTTGCCTGACCATACCGGACCAGGAATCTGTCAGTCTGTGGCCAGAACCACACGTAGCTAACTCCCCTTCCTGGCGTCACTGGACCGAAACGTGTCACTCTGAGGCCAGAACCACCCTCCTTGGCTCCCCTGACTGCCACTGATGGGACCGGGAACCCGTCAGTCTGCAGCCAGAACCCCAACATTGAGGCTCCAGTGAGTCCCCCTGATGGGACTGGGATCTTTTCAGTCTGCGGACAGAACTCCACCCCTTGGCTCCCAGGCCTGCCCCTGACTAGACCAGGAACCTGTCAGTCTGTGGCCAGAACCCCACCTCCTTGGCTCCTCTGACTGTCCCTGACTGGACCGGGAACCTGTCAGTCTGTGGCCAGAACCCCACCTCCTTGGCTCCTCTGACTGTCCCTGACTGGACCAGGAACCTGGCAGTCTGTGGCCAGAACTCCACCCCTTAGCTCCCCTGCCTGCCCCTGACTGGACCTGGAATCTGTCAGTCAGTCTGCGGAAGGAACCCCATGTCCTTAGCTCCCTGCCTACTCCTGATGGGACCAGAGACCTGTTGTCATTCTGTGGCCAGAACCCCACCTCCGTAGGCTACGCTGCCCGCCCCTGACTGGACCAGGAACTTGTGAGTCTGCAGCCAGAACCCCACCCCATCAGCACCCCTCCCTACCCTTGATGGACCTGCAACTGTCACCAGTTGCCAGAACCCCGCTTCCTTAGGCTCCCCTGCCTACCTGTGATGGGACTCGGAACCTGTCAGTCTCGACCAGAGCCTAACCTGCGTGGCTCCCCTGACTTTCCCTGAGGGGGCCAGGAACCTGTCACTCTGTAGCCAGAACCCCACCTCATTGGGCTCCCCTGACAGCAACGGGAACCTGTCAGCCTGTGGCCAGATCCCCATGTCCTCAGCTCCCCTGCCTGCCCCTGATAGACCTGAACCTGTCAGTCTGTGGCCAGAACCAACCTCCTTGGCTCCCCTGACTGCCCGCGATGGGACCAGGAACCTGTCATGCTGCTGCCAGAACCTTAGCCAGAACGCCTTAGCTTCCCTGCCTGGCCATATGGACCGGGAACCTGTCCATGTGCGGCCAGAACCCCACATGCTTAGCTCCCCGGCTTGTCCCTGACTAGACAGGGAACTGGTATGTCTGTGGCAGGAACACCATCCTCTTACACTACCCTGCCTGCCCCTGACTGGAACCAGAGCCTGTCATTCTGCGGCCAGAACCCCACCTCCTTGGCTCCCCTGACTGCCTCTTTCTGGCCTGAGAACCTGACAGTCGAGCACTACAACCCCACCTCTTGGATCCCCTGCCGGCCCTTGATGGAACTGGGAACCTGTCAGCCTGGGGCCAGAACCCCACCTCCTTGTCTCCCCTGCCTGCCGCTGATGGGACTGGTAGCTTGCCAGTCTAGGGCCAGAAACGCTGTCTTTGGCTCCCCTGCCTGCCCCTGACAGGACCGGGAACCTGTCAGTCTGCGGCAGGAACCCCAAGTCCTTAGCTCTCCTGCCTGCCCCTGACTGACCCAGAACCTGTCACTCTGCGACAGTTCCTGATCCAGTCAGGGGCACTCAGTGGATCCTAAGGGAGTGGTTTCTCCCCCATATCTGAATGTGAAAGTCCAGCTGGGTGCAGAAACTAGGGAAGAACAGACAGTGCACACATCTGGTCAGATGGCAAGTGTGTGACATTCAAGATGGTTTACAAAGTGGCCCACAACAGGTGATCTCTCCCTACCTCTTCATGTAGCGTGCCTTCAGACACTAACCCCTGGCTCACAACTTGAAGTCTATAAAGGACGGAGACCCTCAGCTATCACTGAGTGGCTCAGAGGACACTGCATGGCTTGTGCTCAATCACTTGTGTCCCTGTTCAAAGCACAGTTTATGAAAATAATCATACAAGCCGGCGCCGCGGCTCACCAGGCTAATCCTCCACCTGCGACGCCAGCACACCGGGTTTTAGTCCCGGTCAGGGCACCGGATTCTGTCCCGGTTGCCCCTCTTCCAGGCCAGCTCTCTGCTGTGGCCCGGGAGTGCAGTGGAGGATGGCCCAAGTGCCTGGGCCCTGCACCCCATGGGAGACCAGGAGAAGTACCTGGCCCCTGCCATTGCATCAGCGCGGTGCGCCGGCCGCGGCGGCCATTGGAGGGTGAACCAACGGCAAAGGAAGACCTTTCTCGTCTGTCTCTCTCTCACTGTCCAGTCCTGCCTGTCAAAAAAAAAAAGAGCCTATCAGCAAAAACCAAGACTCGTTCAAGGTGGTGAAGACCGCGCGTACGTTTCGGGAGTCTTATTTCAAGTTTTAATTCTTCTGCCAACACACTCATGGTAATCCCAGGCTAGGTTGCTCTCGTTTCTGAATCGACGTGTCACCCACTGCGCCTCCCTCGTCTGGGCACTTCATCACTCACTCACTGAAGTTGCTGTTCAGAGTGTCCGCTGTGTCCTGTTCTCTCCTGCTCTAAAGTCACTGAGGAGACAGTACTGACGACGAAGCTGCAAACCCTTTCAAGAAGTCGTGTCTATACACGACCATGTTTTCAAGGCATTTCCGATGGATCTGACTGCCTGTCAAAAAAAAAATTAAAAAAAAAATAACTGAGATATTGCGGGTCTTGGTATTAGAAGATGAGCAAACTTTGTAGTTATGAATCTGCCTTGTCCAGCGTGCTCTACACGCCATGTTGATGACCCTCCTCTCCCTGAGAGAAGAGCCAGCCTGAGCCGTGGAGTGAGTGGAGCAGAAAACCAGATTAAAGGATTACAGAACGCAGAACGGGTCAAGTCGGTTTTTCCTATCGAGAGACAGAAACTAGAGTGACCTCCCTGGAGCTCTCAAGGTCACATCTGGGTGCCTGGGCACGAAAAAAGCTAAAAAAAAATACATATATATATATCTCCAGGTTCTGGAACATTCTAGGACGTTCTAGAATGTTCCGGGATCCCTAGAATTTTTCCGAGGTGTTCTAGAATGTACCAGAACATCACCAAGTGAGTCTGGGGGGATTCTGGGATACGGGTCTGAGTAGAAGTTTCCCGGCTGGGTGTGACGGGTGTCCTGGTGCTGGCCTGGCCCTGCGGACATTGACGTGACATCCGGCGCCCACCGGGGCTGCGGAAACTTCCAGCACGTCGGCAGAGGGTCTCAGACCCCCCAGGACGCTCGCTGGGTTCTCTGGAACATACTGGAACATTCTACAACATTCCAAGACCCCAAAGACACTCACCAAGCGGTCCAGGGCATCCTACGAACATTCTAGAAAATTCTACGTCATCCACCAGTATTCCGGAACACTCCAAGACCAGGCGCTCTAGAATATTCTAAGGCCCCGAGGACGTGCGCCGGGCTCTCTAGAACATTCTGGAACATTCCACAGAATTCCTCGCGATTCCAAGGACATTCCCTGGGCATTCTAGAACATTCTGGAATCCTGGAAACACCCACCAGGGGTTCTGGAAAATTCCAAGGCCCAAGAACGCACGACAGACTCTCCCAGAATTCCCTGGGAGCACTGACCGTTCCGGAACGTCCCTGGTGTCCACCAGGATGTTTGCACAACCTTCGGCCCGCCAACTCCTCCCCCAGCCCTGGCAATAAATAGACGCCGGGTCCCCGCCGGCTCAGACGACGACGAAGACGATGGTGATGAAGATGACGGTGACGAAGGCTCTCCTCCTCGCCCTCACGGTGGGCGTGGCCTGTGCGGACATCGACCCCGCCCAGGTATCATTAATTTGCATCATTAGTTCCCAGTATTAATTCTCGTCATGAATTCATATCATTTCTTCACATCATTACTTCGCATCACTAATTCGCATCACTACTTTGCATTGTTTCTTCAGCCGTATCATTAATGCGCGTCATTTCTTCACCTCCCCAGCTCTCCGGGCCCTGGCGCACCTCCGCCATGGCCTCCGACATCCTGGAAATGATCCTGGAGGATGGGCCACTCCGGATGCTGTTCCGCGAGATGGAGTGCAACGAGGACTGCAACGCCCTGAACGTCTTCTTCTATGTCAAGTGAGGGGCGGGGCCAGGGGAGACAAGCCGAGGCCACAGACAGAGAGCCAGGGGGGAGCAATCGAGCCCAGAGAGCGGGGAAGACAGGCGCCGCCAAGCCCAATCGATCCCAGAGAGAGAGAGAGAGAGAGCAGGCCAGGGCGACCAGCCGAGCCCAGAGAGAGAGATAGCAGACAGGAGTAGTTGAGCCCAGAGTCAGAGAGCATGTGGGCTAGAGGGGAGTAATGGAGCTGAGAGTGAGCAGACAGGAGTAGTTGAGCCCAGAGACAAAGAGCAAGCTAGGGGGGACCAGCCGAGCCCAGGGAGAGTGAGCAGACAGGAGTAGTTGAGCCCAGAGTCAGAGAGCATGTGGGCTAGAGGGGAGTAATGGAGCTGAGAGTGAGCAGACAGGACCAGCCGATCCCAGAGTCAAAGAGCAGGCCATGGTGGACCAGCCGAGCCCAGAGAAAGAGTAGACAGGAGCAGTTGAGCCCAGAGTCAGAGAACAGGTGGGCTAGAGGGGAGTAATGGAGCTGAGAGAGAGCAGACAGGACCAGCCGATCCCAGAGTCAAAGAGCAGGCCATGGTGGACCAGGCGAGCCCAGAGGGAGAGCAGACAGGAGCAGTTGAGCCCACAGCGAGTGGCCATGTTCCCGGTCTCTCCTTCAGGAAGAACGAGGTATGCACCCCGCACACGGTTGTGGCCCAGAAGAACGCAGACGGCATCTACACCACTGACTGTGAGTACAGAGCATTTCGGAAAGTTCCAGACAATTCCAGACGACCCCAGGGAATGTCCGGTGTGTTCCAGAATGTTCGAGAATGTTCCCAGAAATGTTCCAGGATGCTGCAAATGTCCCAGGATGCTCCAGTTCCTCAATGTTCTAGAATGTTCCAGAATGCGCTAGAATGTCCCAGCATGCCCCGGCACATCCAGAACACCCACCTCTCTCCCTACAGTCGAGGGCCAGACCTCCTTCCAGTTCCACGTATTGGATCCCGCTAGGCTCTTCGTCTTCATCAATAACATGGGGTCCAGCGGCACCACCAGCCGCCTCAGCTTCCTTGTGGGTGAGCCCCCCTCACACACACATGTACACTGCCGGTGCCCGCTAGGGATACGCACCACGACCCGAGAGTCTGAGCCCGACTGTATACAGGGAAAGGGGGGATACAGTCGGTGCCCACTGGATAAAGCGAGTGTATACAGTCAGTGCCCACTAGACATGGTGGGCATATACAGTCGGTGCCCACTAACGCTAGCATATACAGTTGGCGCTCGCTAGATGGGGTGAGTGTATACAGCCACTAAAGTGAGTGTATGCAGTAGGCTCACACTAAAGCAAGCGTACTCAGTCGGCACCCACTCTTGCCACAGTCAAATTGAAAGTCATAAATGACGACCGGCTGGAGGACTACGCGAGGCTCACGGAGCAGAATGGGATCCCGCGGAAGTACATCCGGCGTGTGGGCGACACAGGTGAGGCTGCGGCAGCTTCCGGGCTGACTTGGCGCTGACTCGGCGCTGACTCGGCTTTCCTCTCTCTCCAACAGACACCTGTCCACCCTGAGGACGCCTCCCTTGGAGAAGGTGCCAGAACGTTCTAGACCATTCCAGAACCGCCCCTCCTGCACAATGATTCCTCCCCTGATCGCCTCACCATCTCCTCCCACCTGCGAACGCGCTAGTATGCTCCGGAACATTCTAGAGCATTCTGGATTGATCCAAGATGGTCTGGATTGTTCCAGAATTTCTAGAAAGCTTCGGAACATTCTAGAATCGGCCGTCCCCAGCTTTCTCTGCTTCCTGTTCATGGAATAAACTCATCCCAGGCACAGTCCCAGTCGTTTATTTTAAACGATTTTTATTGTTCCGTCAAAAGACAGAGCGAGCTGGTGGAGGAACCCAGGGGCTACCTCCGGGTCTCCCTGCACTGTCAGTCACCGTTCACTGACAAGGGGGTGGGCTCTGTCATCTGGTGGCTGTCAATCAGCCCTGAGTGACACTGGGGGGGTTCTCCCCGACTCCACTGGCAGCCAGTCACACTCCACCAGGATCCCAGGGCCACATCCGGGTCCCCATGGCCACATCCGGGTCTCCAGGGCAATATCCGGCTCCCCAGGGCTCCACTCATGTCCGCAGTGACACATCCAGGTCCCCAGGGGCACATCCTGGTCCCCAGGGCCACATCCGGGTCTAAGTGCTCCATCCGGGTCTCTGGGCTCCATCTGGGTCCCTAAGGGCTCCATCCGGGTCTCTGGGCTCCATCCGGGACTCCTGGCTCCATCCGAGTCTCTGGGCTCCATACAGGTCTCTGGGCTCCATCGGGGTCTCTGGTCTCCATCTGTATCTCTGGGCTCCATCTGGGTCCCTAAGGAAACATCCTGGTCCCTAAGGCTCCATCCGGGTCTCTGTGCTCCTTCAGGGTCACTAAGGCTACATCCGGGTCCTTAAGGTTTCTTCCGAGTCCTTAAGGCTCCATCCAGGTCTCTGGGCTCCATCCAGGTCTCTGGACCACATCCGGGTCTCTGGGCTCCATCCGGGTTTCGGGGCTCCAACAGTGTCCCTTAGGCTGCATCCAGTCTCTGGGCTCCATCCGAGTCTCTGGGCTCCACCCCGATCTTCAGGGCCACATCCAGGTCCCCAGGGCCATATCCGGGTCTCCAGGGCCACATCCGGTTCCCCAGGGCTCCATCCGGGTCTCCAGGGCCACACCAGGGTCTCCAGGGCCACACCAGGGTCTCCAGGGCCACATCCGGATCTCCAGGGCTCCCTCCAGGGCCATATCTGGGTCCCAGGGCTCCACCCAGGGTCTCTGGGCTCTCTCCAGGTCTCTGAGCTACATCCGGGTCCCTAAGGCTCCATCCTGGTCTCTGGGCTCCATCCTGGTCTCGGGGCTCTGCCCAAGTCTCTGGGCTCCATTCGGGTCCCTAAGGCTCCATCCGCATCCCTAAGGCTCCATGCGGGTCTTTGGGCTCCATCCAGGTCCCTAAGGATCCAACCGGGACTCCTGGCTCCATCTGAGTCTCTGGGCTCCATCCTGGTCTCGGGGCTCTGCCCGAGTCTCTGGGCTCCATCTGGGTCCCTAAGGCTCCATCCGCATCCCTAAGGCTCCATGCGGGTCTCTGGGCTCCATCCAGGTCCTTAAGGCTCCATCTGAGTCTCTCTGCTCCATTAGAGTCTCTGGGCTCCATCCGGGTCTTTGGGCTCCATCCAGGTCCCTAAGGATCGATCCGGGACTCCTGGTTCCATCCGAGTCTCTGGGCTCCATACAGGTCTCTGGGCTCCATCCAGGTCTCTGGGCTCCATCCATATCTCTGGGCTCCATCTGGGTCCCTAAGGATCCATCCGGGACTCCTGGCTCCATCCGAGTCTCTGGGCTCCATCCAATTCCCTAAGACTCCATCCAAGTCCCTAAGGATCCATCCGGGTCTCTGGGCTCCATCCAGGTCTCTGGGCTCCATCCAAGTCTCTGGGCTCCATCCGGGTTCCTAAGGCTCCATCCGGGTCCCTAAGGCTCCATCCAGTTCCCTAAGGCTCTTCCGAGACTCTGGGCTCCATCTGGGTCCATAAGGCTCCATCCGGGTCCATAAGGCTCCATCCGGGTCTTTGGGCTCAATGCGAGTCTCTGGGCTCCATCCGGGTCTCTGGGCTCCATCCATATCTCTGAGCTCCATCTGGGTCCCTAGGGCTCCATCCTGGTCTCTGGGCTCCATCCTGGTCTCTGGGCTCCATCCGGGTCCCTAAGGCTCCATCCGGATCTCTGGGCTCCATCTGGGTCTCTGGGCTCCACCTGGGTCTCTGGGCTCCATCTGGGTTCCTATGGCTCCATCCGGATCTCTGGGCTCCATCCGGGTCCCTAAGACTCCATCGGGGTCCCTAAGGCTCCATCCGGGTCTCTGGGCTCCATCCGAGTCCTTAAGGCTCTATCCGGTCTCTTGGCTCAATCCGAGTCTCTGGGCTCCATCCGGGTCTCTGAGCTCCATCCGGGTCTGCAGGGCCACATCGGGTCTCCCAGGGCTCCACATACGGGACCCAGGGCCACATCCGGTTCCCCAAGGGACATATCGGGGTCCCCAGGGCCACATCCAGGTGTCTCGGGCCATTACCGGTTCTCCAGGGCCACATCCGGGTCTAGGGCCACATCCAGGTCTCCAGGGCTCCATCCAGGTCTCCAGGAACATCTGGGTCTCCAGGGCCACATCAGCATGATCAGGGCCACATCCGGGTCTCTAGGGCTCTCTCCAGGGCCACATCCAGGTCTCCATCACTACATCCGGCTCTCTATGGCGCCATCCAGGTCTCCAGGGTCACATCCGGATCTCCAGGGCCACATACGGGCTCCCAGGGCCACATCCGGGTCCTTAGAGTCACATGGGGGTCTCCAGGGCCACACCCGGGTCTCTAGGGCCACATCTGGGTCTCCCAGGGCTCCATCCGGGTCCCCCAGGTCCACATCCGGGTTTCCAAGGCCACATCGGGGTCTCCAGGGCCACATCCAGGTCCACATCAGGTCCCCAGGGCCACATCCAGTTCTCCCAGGGCCACATTCGGGTCCCCACGTCCACACCCGGGTCCCAGGGCCACATCCAGGTCCCTAGGGCCATATCCGGGTCTCCAGGGCTCCATCCAGGTCTCTAAGGCTTTATCCAAGTCTCTGGGTTCCATCAGAGTCTCTGGGCTCCATCCGTATCTCTGAGCTCCATCCAGGTTCCTAAGACTCCATCCGGGTCTCTGGGATCCATCCGAGCCCCTAATGCTCTATCTCACTCTCTGGGCTCCATCCAAGTCTCTGGGCTCCATCCGGATTCCTAAGGCTCCATCAGGTCTCTGAGCTCCATCTGGGTCCCTAAGGCTCCATCCGGATATCTGGGCTCTATCAGGTCTCTGGGCTCCATCCGGGTTCCTAAGGCTCCATCCAAGTCTCTGGGCTCCATCCAGGTCCCTAAGACTCCATCAAGGTCCCTAAGGCTCCATCCGGGTCTCTGGGCTCCATCCGGGTCTCTGGGCTCCATCCGGGTCCCTAATGCTCCATCGGGGTCCCTAAGGCTCCATCCGGGTCTCTGGGTTCCATCCGAGTCCCTAAGATTCCATCCGGGTCCCTAAGGCTACATCCGGGTCTCTAGGGCCATATCCGAGTCTCCAGGGCCACATCCATTATCTCCAGGGCTCCCTCCAGGGCCACATCTGGGTTCCAGGGCTCCACCCGGGTCTCCAGGGCCACATTCGGTTCCTCAGGGCCACATAGGGGTCTCCAGGGCCACATCCGGGTCTCCAGGGCTCCCTCCAGGGCCACATTCGGGTTTCAAGGGCTCTATCCGGGTCTCTAGGGCTCCACCCCTGTCTCCAGGGCAACATTCGTGTCTCCACACCACATCCGGATCCTCAGGGCCACATTCAGGTGTCCAGGGCTACATTCAGGTCTCTAGGGCTACATCAGGATCTCTAGGGTCACATCTGGGTCTCCAGGCCCACATTGGGGTCTCCAGGGCTCCATCCGGGTCCAGGGCCACATCCAGGTCTCCAGGGCCACATCCGGGTCTCCAGGGCTCCCTCCAAGGCTACATCTGGGTCCCAGGGCTCCACCCGGGTCCCAAGGGCCACATCTGGGTCCCCAGGGCCACCAACAGGTCTCCGGGCTACATCGGGTTCTCTGGGCTCCATCCGGGTCACTGGGCTCCATCCGGGTCTCTGGGCAACATCTGGGTGTCTGGGCTCTCTCTGAGTCTCTGGGCTCTCTCCAGGTCTCTGAGCTACATCCGTGTCCATAAGGCTCCATCCGAGTCTGGGCTCCAACCGAGTCTCTGGGCACCAGCAAGGTCCCTAGGATCCATCCGGGTTCCTAAGGCTCCATCCGGGTCCCTAAGGTTCCATTCGGGTCCCTAAAGCTCCATCCGAGTCTCTGGGCTCCATTAGGGTCTGTGGGATCCATCCGGGACCCTAAGACTCCATCCGGGTTTCTGGGCTCCATCCAGGTCCCTAAGGCTCCATCCAGGTCCCTAAGGCTCCATACGCGTCCCTAAGGCTCCATCCGGGTCTCTGGGCTCAATCCGGGTCGCTAAGGATCCATTCCGGTCTCTGTGCTCCACCCGGGTCTCCAGGGCAACATCCGGATCACTGCGCTCCATCTGGGTCTCTGGGCTCCATTAGAGTCTCTGGGCTCCATCCAGGTCTCTGGGCCCCATCCGAGTCTCTGGGCTCTATCCGGGTCTCTGGGCCACATCAGGCTCTCTGAGCTCCATCCGGGTCACTGGGCTCCATCCGGGTCTCTGGGCCACATCGGGGTCATTGGCTCCATCCGGGTCTCTGGGCCACATCGGGCTCTCTGAGCTCCATTCGAGTCTCTGGGCTCTCTCCAGGTCTCTGAGCTACATCCGGGTCCCTAAGGCTCCATCCTCTTCTCTGGGCTCCATCCTAGTCTCAGGGCTCCATCCGAGTCTCTGGGCTCCATCCGAGTCTCTGGGCTCCATCCGGGTCCCTAAGGCTCCATTCCGGTCTCTGGGCTCCATCCGAGTCTCTGGGCTCCACCAGGGTCTCCGGGCCACATCCGAGTCCCCATTGCCACATCCGGGTCCACAGGGCCACCTCCAGGTCTCTGGATTCCATCGGGTTCTCTGGGCTTCATCCGAGTCTCTGTGCTGCATCCGGGTCTCTTGGCTCATTCCGGGTACCTAAGGCTCCATCCGAGTCTCTGAACTCCATCCGGGTCCCTAAGACTCCATCCGAGTTCCTAAGGCTCTATCTGGGTTCCTAAGGCTCCATCCGAGTCTATGGATTCCCTCCGGCTTACACAGAGCCGGGCGGGGATACTACACCTTCCCGAAGCCTCAGCGGCGGC